ACGATTTTCCTGCTTTTCCATTTTTACGAAAACCACAGAGGCGTCTTGTTCAGCGTGCTGTCAAACCTACACTAGCAAGGAGATCGGGCTGAAACTATAGCTACAAGCTATCCAAGGATGGTACTATAGAATGTCACCTCAAGGTAGGCCTAGTGGCGTCATCTCTTGGTTAGGCCGGAAACTTATCAATCCACCCTCGTATGAATAGGAAAACAGTGGACTCTATGGAAGTTAATAAGAAATAGGCGAGATAGGTTGATGGGACACCTTCTCAGGGATGAAGGTTTAGTTACAGACATATTAGAGGCAGAAACAGGAGTTAAAAGGAGTAGAGGTAGACCTAGATTATATTACTGTTCACAAATAGTTAGGGATATGGGATGTTCTAGTTTTAGGGAAATGCAAAGATTAGTTCAGGATAGGAAGAAGTGGAGGTGGGTGTCCAACCAGTCTTAGGATTGACGACCTTATGATGATGATGATTTATATATATTGACGTATAAAAGCCAACTTTAACACATTGCCTATAGGTATAAACAATTTTAAAATAAAAATTAAAAAAAACATCTGACTGAAATAACGAGATTGTGTTAGTTTCTCCAAACATTTCTTTATCAGCCTTGGAGGTGGAAAATTATCTCCAAATTTAAATGGGACCACTCTAGAGATACAACCTTTCTAATAATAAAATAATCATTAAAATCGATTCAGAATTGTCAAAGAAATCGATTAATAAATCGAACAGTGTTACGTAAAAACACAGTTCAAGAACTCTATTATCAAAAATTTAACGCTTTTCATAATTCTCAGGTATACATACATTCAAGTTATAAGTTTTGTTACCAAGTGGTGTCTACCTATTTGCCAGATTCATATACGAATATCGTAATCTGACTATAGAAATTCCTTGAGTTTTAATAACAATAAACTCTTATAAACTAATAAATAGATGGTCTCGTACTCGTGTTGAAGAAGGACCAATCTTTTTTCTGTTAAAATAGTTAATAGTTGAATACTGAAGCTAATAAAAGCTAAGAAAACGATGCATTTCGCTTAAATAATTGAACATTAAAGGTCAAAGGACATTGATGTTCCATTGTTTGGAAATTGTTTATGAATATCGTTTGGTTATTGTACCGTCATTGTAATGTAAAACACACTTATTTCAAGTGCAACTACATACATTACCATACCTAAACCTCAAGCAACTACGTATTTCTACCATTTCTTTTTTTGCCAAAATTGCTGTCCCAAAGAATTTGCCGAAACTATATAAATCATGACGTTAAAAGATCCCGGGTTCGACTCCCGGCGAGGATGTGGTAACAGCAACAAAAATTTTTTTCATTGGTTTGAGAAAAAAAGATCGAAAATGAATTTTTAAATTAATTAATCATAATCATATTTTACATCAGAGAACTGAATTTTCGCCTTCTAATTATTTTACCAGTTGCATATCGACTGAAACAACCGTTTCTCTATGTATTTTAAATATATGTACTTAAGAAAATGTATCATGCAATTGGCGATTATACAAATTGCACTCAAAATACTGCTCCAATATTATAGCAAACCTTTGAATATATCTAAATTTTCGTTCATTGGTTTTGAGTTTTGTCGACATATTTTTTAAGTTAAATAATAATTGTTCCCAATCACCTATTTTTCTTCTGTATCCAACCGTACTATCTTTACGACTATCCTAACTAATATTATAAACATGAACGAAAGTTTGTATGTTTTTAATGATTTCACGCCTTAACTACTTAATCGATCATCACGAAATATTTTACACACCTTGTCAAAAACATATTATCATAAGAAAATAGTTTTATTTGGTCGTCCGACATATCATACGTGATTTGTTTGGAGTTAAATTGGAATAACAACCTAAATTTTATTTTCAATATTCAATCAAAAAAAAAAAAAACGTCTACGCCAGCGAAGCCGCGCGAGTAAAACCAAGTAATTTATTTTTAGCCAAATTTTAAAACCGTACAGCATAAAAGACAATCAAAGGAAGAGGATTCTCACAGGAAAACAATATTTATTAATAGTCTAATTGTCTGTATTAGAGCCCCTTCCACCGCCCCGTATATTTAATGGGTATTGGCATTGGACCGATCAATGCCGAAAAGTTCTAAAAAAAAGTCGAATTAGAAAGACATTAGTATTAGTTGAGTTGCTACCGGTGTTAGATAGCTGAAAGTTGAAGAGACCAAAAAAATAAAATTATGGTAGACAACATGAATATTAAGAAAAGTGTAGCCGACACATTCGACGGTCAGACCGTATTTCTGACCGGTGCTACAGGGTTTCTGGGAAAGCTAGCTCTGGAAAAGCTTTTGCGGGGATGCCCCGGCATCAAGAAAATTTATATCGTAATAAGGAGCAAGAAGGGTAAGGACGAAACCCAGAGGAGGACTGAAATTTTTGAGAACGAGGCAAGTACCTACATGCAGCAAAAGATTTATCTGACGGTGTCAATATTAAATACAGTGGATATGTAAGTTCCTTGAATTTAAAGCATACTTTAGTATAAAATTCATGTGGCTATTGCGACTTCGGATGTAACGCCGAGTTCGGGTGTAGCGGAGTCGGCCGCTGAAGACACAAAGAGCTTTCTTACCTTTTGTTAAATTTACACAAATAGATAATCAACAAGTGTGGCCACCTTTACCGCTGTTTTTGAGTAGCAACTGTGTTTAATAAACATTGGAATAAGTATGACTTCCAGATGTACATTTACTGTTAAAAAAAAAACACGAAAATTGTTTCAAAATTGAAAAACAGTGTGTGTCCGTATCTTCTTTAACTTTGCCTGTAACGACTTCTGGATATAACGACGAAATTACAGTGGTCCTTTGTCGTTATACCCGAAATCCACTGTAGTTAAGAAAAAGATTAATTAATTATGTTTTCAAATTTTCCGTTGTCACACATTTACGAGTTCACATATGCGTCATTTGGTCAGATTTAAAATTCTATCTGGCATTGAAAACGTTTGCTTATTGTTCAATAATGATAACACGAAGTCATTAATATTAATAAAATTTATAGCAAGGCCATCAGCGAATTGAAAGGTTATGTGTTGTATATAAATTTCACTTGGTAGTGACTTTTACCTGTCGATTTCCGAGAACGAAATTATTATTACTTTTTCGTTCTTTGAATGACATTTTCGTTGTCAATTTCTTCGTTCTTCTCGTTTGGTTTAAAGAAGCTTCTTACTTAAGGAGATTGTTTACGTAAAAAGTCCTATAATTATAAATGTTCAGTATGTTAATTGTAAGTTTTAGATACATCCGTATTTGCTAGGAATCGGATTTTTTGTTTTGTAGTTTCCCAGAAATCGAATTTCAAAGTTTGCTTTTTTTAACACTGACTCTTATGAACGGTCAATCAAAATTATGTATATTATTATATCGAATTTTTTATTGATAAGAAAANAAAATTACGTATTATATCAATATTGATATATTGATGAAAAAGTTTTGCGGCAATAAAAAACTATAAGTACTATATAAAAAGCGTTTTTGAAGAAAGTTACAGATTTCTTTTCTGTCCCGTTCGTGAGAAACAAACATTGGCTCTTATGGACGGTATATCAAAATTACGTATTATATCAATATTGATATATTGATGGAAAAGTTTTGCGGCAATAAAAAGTATCTAAAAGCATCTACAAGCAGCAACAAACAATTCGGAAAAAAATCCATTACAGAATAGCCCAGCAAATGATTCATTCGTTTATGTATTTCTATACAAAAGTAGAGATACACAGCAAAGGGTAGCGCAGGGTCGAGTCGCCCTCAATAAAAAGAAGTCACTTCTATGCTCGCGAACGGTTAATTTAGAAATTTGAAAAGGATTGTTAAAGGTGTATGTCTGGGGCGCGATACTGTACGGGTGCGAAACATGGGCGGTGAGCACTGCGGAAAAGAAAAGGTTAGAAGCGTTTGAAATGTGATGTTATCGGCGAATGATGAGGATACCGTGGATAGAGAAGGTTAGAAATGAAGAGGTTTTAGAAAGAATAGGAGAATAGAGGACTCTATGGAAGTCAAAATAAGAAATATCGATAGGAAAGAGTAGGGGTGCGTGTCCGACCAGTCTTAGGACTGACCTTAAGATGATTATACAAAAACGGTTTTTTGTTATACAAAAACCACCCTTTACTAGATAAAATATAGACTTTAGGGTATATGGTCCTTCAGTGTAACTTTTTTGAGAATTCCTCAAGGTTCTCATCTTCATCGTCATCATCATCATCATAAGATCGTCAGTTCTAAGACTGGTTGGACACGTACCTCCAAATAAAAAGTTCTCATAAAGTTTTTTAATATCTGACAGTATCACTGGACACACTATCATAAAAATGTACACAAGTAGTAGAAAAATAATAAAGACCTTCCTACAGATCTTCGAACCCTTGAAACGAAAAACAGCCGAAATCTTCGAAACAAAAGTGGAAGTAATGTCCGGAGATTTATCCCTTCCGAACTTGGGGTTGTCAGAAGTTGATCAGAAGACATTAATCGCTGAAGTAAATTTTGTACTTCACTTCGCAGCGACCGTACGATTCGACGAAAAAATCAAAAGGGCTGTCGCCATCAACATCAAAGCAACCAGAGACATACTGAAGATGGCGAAACAGATGAAAAATTTGAAAGTATAAAAAATTCGACGATTTCGTAATTTGGACATTTGAAACAAACAGGCCGTTATCTTTTGCAGGGGTTCGTCCACGTTTCGACCGCTTATTCCTTTTGTCCATTGAAGGAGATCGAAGAAAAATTTTACGAACCGGCATACGACGTCGACAAAATAATTAATTTGGTAGACGCAATGGATGATGACATGCTAGACTATCTTACTCCAAAGTAAGACATTTCAATGGAAGGTTGAATTGTTGTCGCACACTCACTTTGAAATATTTTACGATATTATTGTGAAAATTCATTTTCGATTTTCCATCCATTAAAACTTCCTCGGGTTAATGATTCCCGCAGCGGGTGTGACAACAGCAACAAAAAGTATTTTCCTCATTAACCCGAGGATGTTTGTAGTGTATGGAAAATCGAAAATGAATTTTCACATTAATATCGCATATTAACCACTATTAGCCATTAAAAATGTCATTTTATTTTTATGGCTTGTGTTTTTTAACTTTTAAGGATTGATGGTTCTAAGTAGTGTCCGACCGAAACTGGTTTTTACGACCGAAACCGAAACCGAATTTCGGCAACGGTCTCAGTTTCGGCCGAAACCGAAACCGAAACCGAAACTTCCTTATAAGGATCATGTTTTGAGAGAAAAATAAAGAAAACGTTATTATAATCAGTCAGTTTTATTTTTTTATCTTTAAATCACATAGCTCTGCAGTCTTTGACATTTTCACTTATTGATAATCAAATCAAAATCAACATAACAACCCCTCATTTAAGGAAATACTTTAATTGCGCCTTAAAAATACTTAAAATAGGTGAGATGTTTATTTGAGTAAGTATAGTAGACTAGACTCATTTTTCTTTTGAAGATTATTCATGCTTTTTTTTATATAAGAATTTAACGCGCCGAACATGACCGAGCAGAGCGCGAGAACTCCCGAACGCAGTTTTGGTTTCGGTCATAGTTTCGGCAGGTTTACCGCCGAAACCGAAACTAAACCGAAACTCATTTTTTTGCCGAAACTCGACCGAAACCGAACTTTCGGTCGGACACTAATTCTAAGTTATAACCCTAAAGTTCTGGTTCTTTACCAACTAATCGCAGATTTACGAGGGGTGGAGAAGCACAAAACAGTCTCGTTTTAGTTCAAACATTTTAAAAATAAATTATTATAAGCATACCCATGTACTCAACCAGTCTTAGGACTGACGACCTTATGATGACGATGATGATGTAGTTAATGATTTATCTATTTTAAGGTTGTTGAAGGAATGGCCCAACACATACGTTCTAACAAAATCCATTGCCGAACAGGTGATACGGACTGAATCGGACGGACTGCCCTTGGTTATGGTCAGACCTTCTATTGGTAAGTTCAAATCTTACATGGTTTCAGATTTGCGAAAGCCATAAGAAAATATGTGGGATATTGGAGATGTACGAGGTATGTTCAAAAAGTATCGCAAATATTGAATTTCCGTGGGTTACGTATAATCCATTTTTGATTTTTTTGTGACATTATGTTGGTACTCACTTATGCCACCGACAAGTTTGGCCATGTTGATTGTTCAGTTAATTTTTGACAGCTGTTTTGCTTACACGTGTTATGGCTTGTCTTCGATTTTTGCCTATTCCAAAAAATGGATCAAAGAATTTGTATTAAATGTTCCGAATGTTGACTGTCGCATATGGCGAAGCTACCTTGGACCCAAGCAACGTTCAAGGGCCGAGAAGATGTGAAGGACGAACAGCGTGTCGGATGCCCGAGTAGAACAGACGAAAGATGAACAAAAGATGATTTTTGAAGTGCTTCGAGAATTAAAAAAAAAAACGTTGGCACAAGTGTATAATATCTGATGGGGATTACTTTAAAGGGGACCAAATACCAAATAGATATTCATGAATAAAATAAAAAAAATTGCGATACTTTTTGAACACACCTCGTACATCAACGGTGACTTCATTTTTGAGAAATTATTATCCGGGTTCATGCCTGGAGTGTTTCCATTATTATTTCCCTCGATTGGAGCTGTCTTTCGCACGTTGCCGAAGCAAGACCTAGCAATAATAATGTATTTGAAGATGCCTGCCACACTCGACCGTAAAATGTGGAAAAGACAACTCCAAAGAAGGAGAACCACGCCAATCAACATTGAATATGCGAGATGACCTGTTGAAGTAGATAACTATAGTCACCCCTTTCGATTTGTTTTTTGATTCCAGTTATGTCAACGTATCAGGAACCTCTGGGAGGCTGGACTGACAATTTCTACGGGGCATTGGGGGCCCTAGTCGGCGGGGCTTTGGGTTTAATAAAAACAATGTGGGTTAAGTTCAACAACGTTGCTGACCTTGTACCTGCTGATTACGTGGTCAATTGCATCATTGCTTCTGCTTGGGACGCGGCAAATAACAGGTAATTCAAAATCATTGAAAATAATGCATAAATGCGTTTTTTTTTGTATCCAATTCTTTTAAGGAATGAGTTTAGTAACAATCCAGGGGTGGATTCAGGAGACGATAGAGCAAATAAAATCAAGATTTACAATTATGTTTCTGGTTCCGAAAACCCGATAACATGGGGTAAGAAATTATTATATTATTTATTATTTTTATGTTTTAACTTGTACTGTTGCGATTTTTTGGGATTTTTCTCTTTCAAACGTTTCGCTACTGTCATCTTCAGTAATGATTAGTTACTACTCGTTTGGATGATAAAAAACAGTTAGAATCAACACTACCTAGCTGTATACGTACATAATTTGATGAAATTGAGACGGGTTGTTCGGAAAGTCATTTCGTTTTTTTTTGTGGAAATGAAAGACAGTTTTTGTATAATAAATAAATGCTGTATTAAATTATATATTGACCGTTCTGGTCCAACACCTTTCGCCATCTTTCTGGTAGTAGCATAATTCCACGCTCATAAAATTTTTGGTCTTTGCTGGCAAAAAACTGATCGAGGAGGTTTTTGACCTCCTCATTTGAGGTGAAGGTTTTACCGTCTAAAAAATTTTGGAGTGACCGGAACAAATAATAATNCGAACATTAAGAGAATATATATATTAATAAGAACCAAAAATGGAAAAGACCATATCCAAAGGAGAAATAAAGTATTGGAATGTGAAGTACGTTTTCGTTGTAAAAAGAAAATATACAAAGAGATCATACACGAGAATAAAAACTGAAACTTTTTGTGAAAATAAATGGAAATGAAATTTGAAAATTTTACAGATTTTTGAGCCACTCAAAAAAAAGGTAATTGAAAACATTGAAGAAAAAGTAGAAGTAATCGCTGGAGATCTCGCCGTTTCTCAATTGGGGATATCCCCAGCTGATCAAAAGAAGATATTGGAAGAAACGAATTTTGTGTTCCATATCGCAGCGACAGTAAATTTCGATGAGAAGATAAAGAAGGCGGTCGAAATCAACATTAAAGGTACTAGAGACATTTTGAAGCTGGCAAAACAGATGAAATATTTGCAAGTATGTATAAGCGATTTCTTTTGTAGTAAATAAATAATCTATTATATGCTGACGCTTCTTCAGGGTTTCGTCTATGTTTCAACTGCGTATTCTAATTGTCCACGACATGAAATTGAAGAAAAGTTTTATAATCCACCGTATGAAGTGGATAAAATTATAAACATCGTGGATTCTTTGGACGATGATCTCCTGCAATATCTAACGCCAAAGTAAGGATTCTCATAATCAGTATTTCAATGACTGTTGTTTAATTAATATAATCGATGGAATTGATCATGAAATAAGCGCATATTAGGGTTGATTATAAATAACAGAACATAGACGGCATTACATAGTACCTACAAAAAAGAATACCAGAAAGCATGTGAAGTTAAAGGTTTCGAGTTTGCTGACGTTTCGTCCTCGATCTTGCATCAGTAATCGGAGTACTTCTGCTAGACAAATGTAGCGTCCCAATTCAGAACCTGAAACTTCACAGTTATCGATGATACGCCTTAAATGTGAAGTTGGGTGCAAAAGAATACAATTGAATCCTCCGTCGGGAAAAAACGAAATGACTTTCCGAACAACTCTATAGATAATCTTTCAGCAGTGATTGGCGAACCCCCCCTTCCCCTAAATCCATACTTTGAATAATAAGAAAACACGTTTCAGCTGGCATGTACGCGTATACCGAAGAAATCGGTCAGCAGGTGCCGTCGAAGATGTGTGTGTGGCATTACTTTTTTGTGCCGACAGAAAACGAGACGATGTACAAAATCTACGCGGTCTTGTTGCATACAATTCCGGCGCATGTGGCGGATTTCGTCGCCAGATGTATAGGGAGGAAACCGCAGTAAGCAAAAGTCCCAGTTATTCCCAGTTACGCACCGTAACATTAATTTAATACGTTTACTTACCAGATTAGTGGACGGTTACAGAAAGATTCACAAATTCTTGGAAGTTATACACTATTTTTCCACACGTCAGTGGACTATCCACAACAAGAACACGCAAAAATTGTGGCACAAATTGAACCCCGACGACAGGACCAATTTTCAGTTCAATATTAAAACCATGAAGTGGGAACATTTCTTTTACATGTGCATCAGGGGCGCGAGGGTGTACTTGGTCAAGGATCCCATGGACACCCTCGAAGAAGGCAAGGCTCATTACAGAAGACTTCGAATCTACCATTATTCTGTCATGACGATTGTTATTGTTATGTTACTTGCATTTTTATACTTTTTCTTCAGAACTGTTTTCAATATTTTATTTTAATAATTATTATCCCTTCACGTGTGTGTATAATTAACATATAATAATTATTTTGTTTACTTTTGATGAATGTCATAAAGATTTCGTTTATAATTTGACTTTTGAATCAACGAACCTCTTCAGAAAAGATAAGAATTCCCTAATTTTTCGTAACAATAAATCTGAATTATATAACTGAATTATATTATTCAATTGTTACTGCAACAATTGCATAGGTTTCGTCTTAATTAATGATATGCACAGACAGAAGGGTGACCAAAAGAAAAAACAAAGATTTCCAAAATCGATTTCTCTTTTTCATATTTTTTTCTTATTATTTCTAACTATTTTCCACAAAAGAAATGATAAAGATCCTGAAAATTTCAAGTCGATATTTTGAAATTTAAAAAAATCTTTAGCGAACTTTAAACACCGAAATATTGACTTGAAATTTTAAGGATCTTCATCATATTTATTGTAAAAAGTAGTGAAATAAAGATAGGAAAATGAAAAAAAAATATTTTGGACGATTCTGGAAATGTTTAAAAATCTCGAACGCCCTCTTAAAAATTTTCTTTTGCGATGTGCTTAAAACATATTTTCATGGGAGACTCGAAAAAAAAATATTCGTTTAGTTAGTCAAACGGATTTTAAGGAAACAATAATTCTGATTGGCATTTTGTTTTTATTATTCATTAATTCAAAAATCCATTCGTCCATACCAGTATTAAATAGGTCGGAAAATCGCGAAAGACAGTCTATATTTTCTGTTAGTGTTTAGTCGCTCGACACGACAGGTGAATAGGGAACCAAAATGGAAAATAGACAAATTGCGAGTGTAGCGAAAACGTTTGAAGGAAAGACTGTTCTTCTGACTGGAGCAACAGGATTTTTGGGAAAACTGACAGTGGAAACACTTCTTCGAACTTGTCCGAACATTAAGAGAATATATATATTAATAAGAACCAAAAATGGAAAAAACCATATCCAAAGGAGAAATAAAGTATTGGAATGTGAAGTACGTTTTCGTTGTAAAAAGAAAATATACAAAGAGATCATACACGAGAATAAAAACTGAAACTTTTTGTGAAAATAAATGGAAATGAAATTTGAAAATTTTACAGATTTTTGAGCCACTCAAAAAAAAGGTAATTGAAAACATTGAAGAAAAAGTAGAAGTAATCGCTGGAGATCTCGCCGTTTCTCAATTGGGGATATCCCCAGCTGATCAAAAGAAGATATTGGAAGAAACGAATTTTGTGTTCCATATCGCAGCGACAGTAAATTTCGATGAGAAGATAAAGAAGGCGGTCGAAATCAACATTAAAGGTACTAGAGACATTTTGAAGCTGGCAAAACAGATGAAATATTTGCAAGTATGTATAAGCGATTTCTTTTGTAGTAAATAAATAATCTATTATATGCTGACGCTTCTTCAGGGTTTCGTCTATGTTTCAACTGCGTATTCTAATTGTCCACGACATGAAATTGAAGAAAAGTTTTATAATCCACCGTATGAAGTGGATAAAATTATAAACATCGTGGATTCTTTGGACGATGATCTCCTGCAATATCTAACGCCAAAGTAAGGATTCTCATAATCAGTATTTCAATGACTGTTGTTTAATAAATATAATCGNATGGCCTCCCGCGTTCCTCTATTTCTTCTAAACCCAAATTGATCTTCCCCTAATAGTTCTTCCGCCCTTTTTTCCATTCTTCTCTATACAGTTCTAGATAAGTTTTTTAACGCATGGGTAGTAATCTATTAGTTATTTATTCAAAATTTATTATCAATTCTTCTGATTGTGTTTTCTTCCGTTGTTTACGATTTTAGTTTTTAGATTAGTGGAGGGCTACAAGAAAATCCACAAATTATCCGATGTCCTGCATTATTTTGCGACACACGAGTGGAAATTCGAAAATAAAAACACCAAAAGCTTGTGGAAAAAACTGAGCGATGAAGACAGGACTATGTTTCCGTTCAGCATGAAGTTGTTAAAATGGGAGGATTATTTTGGGATATGCATGAGGGGAGTGAGAGTATATATACTTAAAGATCCGATGGAAACACTCGAAGAAGGCAGGGCCCACTATAGGAAACTGACAATATACCTCATTTCTAACCTTTTCTACCCACGATATCCTCATCATCCGCCTATAACACCACATTTCGAAGGTAAGGGTTGTAGGCGATATATTTTTATCTTATTATTTTATTTGTATATTGTGATGAAAATTGTAACAGAGGAGGTGTAAGGTGTTTTTGTTCAATTATGCGTACGTTGCAGTGATGCCCACATATCAAGAGCCGTTATCAGGCTGGGCTGGTAATTTATATGGGCCAATTGGGATTACAGTTGGAGTAGCTATGGGCTTATTAAAAGCATTGTATATAAAGCCCCTTAACGTTGCAGACATAGTTCCTGCCGATTTCGTTGTAAATTGTATTATTTCAGCTGCCTGGGACATTTCGATCGACAGGTAAGTAGAAATATCAAGTATTAGTCAACTATTTTACGTTTACGTCCCATCAGCACGCCATATGTAGATGCCTACATGAAATATTGCAGTTGATATTAATCAATTTGCTTGTATTGAGACAGCCTACGGTGTACTGATGAGACCTAAAATCGCGTTAGCTACGAACAATGGTTGACTTTAATGTTATTTAGGAAAATTATGATTTACTCCTTAGGGAACCAGCAACGTATTCAGGAAACAAAGACAACAGAATAAAAATTTACAACTGCGTGTCTGGACCACAAAATCCAGTTCTTTGGGGTACGAATTGACGAAGAATTATTTTAAAATAGTTTTCGTGAATTAGAGCCTCTTTATGTTCTTTTTATTTTAGAAAAAACCTGGAAGTATACAGAAACATTAGGTAAATCGATACCATCGAAAACATGCTTATGGTACTATTTTTTCGTGCCCGCCCCCTCTGAACGAATCTACAAGATCTATATTACTTTTTTGCATATAATCCCGGCATACATTGTGGATTTTGTTGCAATGCTAACTGGACGTAAACCACAGTGAGTAAATTTCAAGATTATCAAGATGCAGGGTGATGTAACGGCCTACCGTCTTCGCTCACCCTGTGATGGTTCCCTGCCATTTCTACGTTTCCAAATTATTTAATAAGGTAGGTTAAGATTATTGTTATACTACTGAGTTAAATTGTTGACAATTCATTCTAAATTGTTTAATTATGAATATTAAAAAAAATCGGTTGTCTGTAAAGTCGGTTGATTGACGATAGTTGAACGTGACAACGTCATAAGAAAATACTGATGGAATGGTTTCATTTTTCAAAAGAAAATTTTAATTTTATTTGTTTGATAGATATTTTGTATGGATATAGAGAAGGAGGTAAATGGAAATGTATTATTGTATAGCAGCTGTCCACGCGGACGCATCGCTCACTCAAGTAGGAGAGAGACAGATGTCGAACGCTGCCGAACGCGGAGGCCGATTGTGCCTCTTTGTCGCTCGTT